AAGACACTTAGATTCCCACACAATAATAGTGGGAGACTTTAACACCCCATTGTCAATATTAGACAGATCAACAAGACAGAAAATCAACAAAGATATCCAGGGCCTGAACTCAGACCTGGAACAAGCAAAACCTAATAGACATTTAAAGAACTCTCCACCCCAAATCCACAGAATATACATTCTTCTCAGCACCACATCACACCTACTCTAAAATTGACCACATAATTGGCAATGAATCACTCCTCAGCAAATGCAAAAGAACGGATATCATAACAAACAGTCTCTCAGACGACAGGGCAATCGAATTAGAACTCAGAATGCAGAAACTAACTCAGAACCGCACAGCTTCATGGAAACTGAACAACTGGCTCTTGAATGTTGACTGGATAAACAATGGAATGAAGGCAGAAATAAAGATGTTGTTCGAAACCAATGAGAACGAAGACACAACATACCACAATCTCTGGGACACATTTAAAGCAGTCTCTAGAGGAAAATATATAGCAATGAGTGCCCACACGAGAAGAAAGGAGAGATCTAAAATTGACACTCTCTCATCAAAATTGAAAGAGCTAGAGGAGCAAGATCAAAAAAACTCAAATCTAGCAGAAGATAGGAAATAACTAAGATCAGAGCAGAACTGAAGGAAATAGAGACACAAAAAACTCTTCGAAAAATCAATAAATCCAGGAGCTGGTTTTTCGAAAAGATCAACAAAATAGACAGACCACTAGCCAGATTAATAAAAAAGAAAAGAGAGAATAACCAAATTGATGCAATAAAAAACGATAAAGGGGATATCACCACAGATTCCACAGAAATCCAAACCATCATCAGAGATTATTACAAACAACTCTATGCACATAAACTAGTAAACCTGGAAGAAATGGATAAATTCCTGGGCACCTGCATCCTCCCAAGCCTAAACCTGGAAGAAGCTGAAACCCTGAATAGACCAATAACAAGGTCTGAAGTGGAGGCAGCAATAAAGAGCCTACTACCCAAAAAAGGCCAGGTCCAGATGGGCTCACAGCCGGATTCTACCAGACATACAAAGAGGAGCTGATACCATTCCTTCTGAAACTATTCCAGACAATCCAAAAAGAGGGAATCCTTCCCAAATCATTTTATGAGACCAACATCATCCTAATACAAAAACCCGACAGAGACTCAACAAGAAAAGAAAATTTCAGGCCAATATCCATGATGAACATAGATGCAAAAATCTTCAATAAAATACTGGCAAACCGATTGCAACAGCATATCAAAAAGCTCATCCACCATGATCAAGTAGGATTCATCCCAGGGATGCAAGGCTGGTTCAACATATGCAAGTCCATAAACGTAATTCACCACATAAACAGAATCAAAGACAAAAACCACATGATTATCTCAATAGATGCAGAGAAGGCTTTTGACAAAATTCAACAGCCCTTTATGCTAAAAACCCTCAATAAACTAGGTATTGACGGAACATATCTCAAAACAATAAAAGCTATTTACAACAAACCAACAGCCAGTATCATACTGAATGGGCAAAAACTGGAAGCATTCCCTTTGAAATCTGGCACTAGACAAGGATGCCCTCTCTCACCACTCCTATTCAATATAGTACTGGAAGTTCTAGCCAGAGCAATCAGGCAAGAAAAAGAAAGAAAGGGTATTCAAATTGGAAAGGAGGAAATCAAATTGTCTGTATTTGCAGATGACATGATTGTATATCTGGAAGACCCCATTGTCTCAGCCCAAAATCTCCTGAAACTGATAAACAACTTCAGCAAAGTCTCAGGATACAAAATCAATGTACAGAAATGTACGAGCATTCCTATACACCAGTAACAGACTTAAAGAGAGCCAAATCAAGAACAAACTGCCATTCACAATTGCTACAAAGAGAATAAACTACCTAGGAATACAACTAACAAGGAATGTAAAGGACCTCTTCAAGGAGAACTATAAGCCACTGCTCAACGAAATAAGAGAGGACACAAACAGATGGAGAAACATTCCATGTTCATGGTTAGGAAGAATCAACATCGTGAAAATCGCCATATTGCCTAAAGTAATTTACAAATTCAATGCTATTCCCATCAAGCTACCAATGACCTTCACAGAACTGGAAAAAACCACCTTAAACTTCATATGGAACCAAAAGAGAGCCCGCATAGCCAAGTCAATTCTAAGCAAAAAGAACAAAGCAGGAGGCATCACACTACTGGACTTCAAACTATACTACAAGGCTACAGTAATCAAAACAGCATGGTACTGGTACCAAAACAGAGATATAGACCAATGGAACAGAGCAGAGGCCTCAGAGGAAATACAGCATACCTACAACCATCTGATCTTCGACAAACCTGACAAAAACAAGCAATGGGGAAAGGACTCTCTGTTTAATAAATGGTGTTGGGAAAACTGGCTAGCCATGTGCAGAAAGCAGAAACAGGACCCCTTCCTGACACCTTATACCAAAATTAACTCCAGATGGATTAAAGACTTAAACTAACACCATAAAAACCCTAGAAGAAAATCTAGGCAAAACCATTCAGGACATAGGTGTAGGCAAGGACTTCATGACCAAAACGCCAAAAGCAATGGCATCAAAAGCCAAAATAGACAAATGGGACCTAATCAAACTCCACAGCTTCTGCACGGCAAAAGAAACAGTCAGTAGAGTGAATCGGCAACCAACAGAATGGGAAAAAAATTTTGCAGTCTACCCATCTGACAAGGGGCTGATATCCAGAATTTACAAAGAACTAAAACAGATTTACAAGAAAAAAACAAACAAGCCCATTCAAAAATGGGCAAAGGATATGAACAGACACGTTACAAAAGAAGACATACAGGAGGCCAAGAAACATATGAAAAAATGTTCATCATCACTGGTCATTAGAGAAATGCAAATCAAAACCACATTGAGATACCATCTCACACCAGTTAGAATGCGGATCATTAAAAAATCTGGAAACAACAGATGCTGGAGAGGATGTGGAGGAATAGGAACACTTTTACACTGTTGGTGGGAATGTAAATTAATTCAACCATTGTGGAAGACAGTGTGGCCATTCCTCAAGGACCTAAAAATAGAAATCCCATTTGACCCAGCAATCCCATTACTGGGTATATATCCAAAGGATTATAAATCATTCTGCTATAAGGACACATGCACACAAATGTTCATTGCAGCACTGTTTACAATAGCAAAGACCTGGAACCAACCCAAATGCCCAACGATGATAGACTGGATAGGGAAAATGTGGTACATATACACCATGGAATACTATGCAGCCATCAAAAACGATGAGTTCACGTCCTTTGTAGGGACATGGATGAACCTGGAAAACATCATTCTCAGCAAACTGACACAAGAGCAGAAAATCAAACACCGCATGTTCTCACTCATAGGCGGGTGTTGAACAATGAGAACACATGGACACAGGGAGGGGAGCACTACACACTGGGGTCCATTGGGGGGAAATGGGGGAGGGATGGGGGTGGGGAGGTGGGAAGAGATAGCATGAGGAGAAATGACTGATACAGGTGAGGGGATGGAATGCAGCAAACCACACTGCCATGTGTGTACCTATGCAACAATCTTGCATGTTCTTCACATGTACCCCAAAACCTAAAATGCAACAAAAAATAAATAAATAAAAAGAAAAGGCGCCAGGATCTGTGTGATTTCCTGTGTGGCGACCCACTGTGCTGGCTGAAACGGCTGCACTGGGGGCTCGTGGCACTTTTTCGCCCGGGAATCTCCTGGCCTGGCTCCCTGTTTCACTGCCTTTTTTTTTTTTCAGTTGAACAGGCGCTCCAGTTGCCTGTTGAAAAGGTGCTGGGATCTGTGTGATTTCCTGTGCAGCGACCCACTGCACCGGCTGAAACAGCCGCGTGGCAGATTTGTGGTGCTTTTTTGCCCAGGAATCTCCTGGCCTGGCTCCCTGTTTCAGTCCCCTTTTTATCAGTTGAACGGGTGACTCTGTCTCCCAGGCGCTCCAATCACCAGCTAAAACAGCGCCTGGACCTGTGTATTTTGTATGGAAATCCGCCGCTCGGACCAAAACAGCCATGCTGGTGACCCGTGGGGCTTCCTCTGCCTGGGAATCTCCTGGTCTGTGGGCAATAAAAATCCATCTGGAAATGTGGCATCCACTCACCCTCTGCACTCCCTGGGAGCTGCAATCCAGAGCTGCTCCTAATTGGCCATCTTGGATCCCCCTCAGATCTTGTGTTTCTGAAATTGGACTAGGCGTTGTCTTTTATAAGAAATAAAGGTTTCCTCTGAAGATTTCCAAAGAAACAATCAATGATGGGACCAGTTAAAACTATGCGTGGGTGCACAAACCACTACCCCCACCCTCCCCCAAAAAACTGACTGTTAAAGAAAAGCTAAGGGAGTGATTTTGGTGCATGGTGTTGAAGACTGAAGAGAAGCATATATCCCAGCAAGGGTAGGTAATGGTATTCAAAGCCTTAGCCCTACATGCTGGTTCAAACAGAGTCTTAGTTCTGAAGTCAAGCATATAATTTAAGTTTGAACCCTTGATAATACTATTGCTTTAAAAAAATAAATAAATAAAAATGAGATGAGAGATCAGGCATTTTGTCAGGATAGGAAGGCTATGCCAAAATCTAGATCAAGCCAGAATCCCAGGTATTGGTACTTTTTAAATAACAGTACTTTTTAACTTGATTTATTTTTAAAAGTTTTATCTTTCTCAGTGAGCAACTAATGCAGAATAAATTGAATGCTAATCCCAGAGTATACAAATCCTGACTTCTAATATTCATGAAATTCATGCATTCGTCTTGGTTTTTATCCTATTTTTGTCTTTAACCAGAGGTTTAAAAATGATCTTATTACAAACATGAAATCTTATTAGAAAATCCAGCACCCAACAGAATCACATACTGTTTTTAACTCTATGGAATGTTAAAGACAAGGTCTTATTAAAGAATCTTTTCCTTTTTCTCTTCAAATTATACACATCCAACAGACATACCGAAAAAAGCCAACAAAGAAAGATCTGCAAGAGCCACCTTCAGGGAAAGAAGTGAAGAATGGTTTCTCCAAAGCCTACTTCACTGCCGCGAACGGCGTGATGAACAAGAAAGCACAATAAAGATGAGTCACAGAGAAAGCACATGTACTAGCCTCACAGATTCGCTTGTTTTAAAGCAAAGACTGAATTGAATGTTACATGTTTTAGGATAAACTAATTTCTTTTGAGTTTATAAATCATTTGTACCCAGAATCTAGTGCTATATTGCTATTAGGTTAATCTGTTAACTGAATGCTTTGATCAGCATTGAGGTGATGCTGACCTCCGAGGACCTCAGAACTAACTGGTGCAGCTTCCCTCCCTCCTTCCCACAGACTGAACCTCCCACCAGAAGCTGTCCTTGTAACGCCTTACACACATATACAGCCAGGAAATGTGGAGCACTGTTTCTCACAGAAAGTCTTCAAATAAAAAGAGTTTTGTTCAGATGAAAATGTTTAAAACAAAACGTTAATTATATTCTAAATACAGGGTATATTGAAGCAATAATTGCCAGTACATAATCATTCCATTTGTTCCTTTAGCAGTCGACCCCAGAAAATATTAACATGGGATCATACACAGAAGACAGAAAAATGTAGCCAGACTTCTTTCTCTAAGCCAGAGTCTTGTCTATCAAATGCCCACAACCACTCCTGATTCTAAACTCAGTGATACAGTAATGAAACTGGTATTTTAAAGATTAGTTATTCTAAGGAGAAAAAAAAAATGCCTCTGCCATATTTTCCTAATTCAAGGGCTTTGGATAGGATTGTTCCTCTGCTTCGCTAATCAATCATCAGTTCACGTCTCCTCCCGTGCCAGACAGCCTAGGTTACTAAAGACACCATGCTCTACACCACGGGCAGTGTACACAGTGTACAACTCTGGCTGCCCATTTTCTTTCTGAGGAAGGACTGGAGTCTACTTTAAAATCTTTGAACATACATGCCACTGGAATATGTATAAATCAAAACCAGTGGATGGGGGCAAAATAGGCACTGAAGTTGTCAACTCTTTTTGTCAGTCTATACTTGTGAATATGACCCCAGATACCTGTTGTCACTCTTTGCAGGTTATTTAAGTTTTTGAAGTTGGGAGAAAAAAGATGGAGTAGCTTGGAAAGATTCCAGCACTAAGCTGTGGGCTGGTAATGAGCCACAGTGAAAAACGCCGGTTTGGCAAACTCGGTATTCCCATTCCCTGCTCAGGTATATCCAGTCTCTACTGAGAAGCAAGCACAAAAGCAGACGAAAGTATTAATGAGTATTTTCTTTCTCCCTAAGTGCAGGACTGTTACTACTAAACTCTACCAGGAATGGAAACAAAGAATATTTTCTGAAGATTTTTTTGAAGATTAATTTTTTAAATAAGTTTTTAGGTCCTGACACTGACATCAAATACACGCGCACCAGAAAGGCGTTTCCACCCCTCTCCCCACTCGTTACCGTCCAGCATGCCTTTCTGTCTCTTTCTGCTTTTTTTCCCCAATAAGCTCTAGTTTAAAATTTTTCCCTGTTAAAAAAAAAATTGTTTTACTTTTTGTAAACTACCCTTCTGAGGATTTGGGCATATTTTTTGAAGGTGCCTAACGCTTAGGATCATCTTGAGGGTGATACACTGCACCTGTGTCCTTCCCTTCTGTGCAGCCGACCCAGTTCTGTTGAACAGATGTCTCCCGTCTAATGTCCCTTCCTCTTCCATTTATCTCTCTAAATCATTTTCTGAAACTCACTTGCCCTAAGGTGCTTCATCACCACTTCCATCTTGTATCACCTTATAACTGTATTCACTGTCTTATTCTCTGCCAGCAACTCATTTTAAAACAAGGGCTAGCTTCAAGCATGACTGTTACGGCTCCTCTATGACAAAACACAAGTTTGACCAAGGAGAAAGCCCCTTGGAGAAACTGGACCCTAGTTCAGTTTAGGTCTCAAACAGGTTAAAATCTCTTACCAAAGTACGTTCCAGGTAAAAATGAGACTTGGAGAAAAGCAGGCTGGTCTAACATGCTTGCTGGTCATCACATTCTTCCCAGTGAGGCCCTGAGGTCTCGCGGCACAGCATACCTGCCACTTTCAATGTTTCCATGGGCTTCATGTCTGTATGGCAAGGAGGGATTGTCCTTCAGCAGACAAAATCAAGCAGCTTTAAGTTCAAGGCAGCTTGAAACCTCTCCGATCAAAGTGAAAAATGTGAGCAGTTTGTACTTCCAAACCAATGCCAGAGATTAGAGACACGTTTCATTCAGGATGCATATTTCCAATTTGGTCTTTAATTCAAGAGAAGCTTCATAAAACAAACACATATAGCCTTAAACCACCCAAGAGCTAATTTAAAAAATAGAGTTATGAAATCTTAGCCACAAAAAAAAAATCAGGTAAAATTTTAACCTGTTAAGTGTTGTAAACATCAAAAAACCAAAATGCTTATTTTAATGTGATATTTCTAAAACTACTGAAAAATTAATATTTCTATAACCTATTGAAAAAAATGGAAAATGTTTTCTCTCAAATTTTCTGTTACTCATGGGAATTAAAACTTAAATACTGTAAAGCATATCAATTATTCCCTCAGTTTTTAAATTAACAAAATGGAATGTTAATGGAATTAAACAGACATTTTCAAGCCATCAAAATTATATATTGAACTATTTAGTCATGTTTCAGGGTAAAGTCCTCACCCCTACATTAGAGAAATACTTATTTTTATTTTAAGGCAAAACAGTACTTAACTGTGATGGGCAGAACAGCATTTTGTATGTAAGAGTCCATTTCAGTTCTTTTCAATATTTCCATATTGTTTTGTGAATGTTTCTGGGGGCTCCCTTATTTGGAAAATATGGGTGTCACTTTGTGTTCCTTTGAAAGTAATTATATCTTAAGAACATGGTATCATGAATGGAGTGGACAAGGGAGGCTGGAGAAGCCATTTTTCTTTGTAGATAAAAAGCATTCTCTATGATTGTTGTATAATAAATTGATTTTTACACTAAATGCATGTTGCAGGTTTTACTTGGTTCAAAGAAGTTAAAATGTATGCCTGCACAGTATTCCAAATGACCTATCACTTGGGGGCTATTTTTACAATAAGGCATTATTGTAGCAACGAATTTTAGACATTCTTCTCTCATTTCAGTGAGCAATGAGTTATTATATCATTACCATTACTTTGTACTCATATACCAAATTAAGGTATTTTTTAAAACAGCCATTCACAAGAAAAAGTTAAGATTAGCAGAGGATATAAAGGTGATAATAAACAAATAAATTGCTATATAAAACCACCTGGAGAGGAGCACTAGATTTGAGGAGAAACGACACTGTGCAATGCCCTGAAACCCAGGACTGCCCTTCACAGATCACCTGCACGGGTAGAGAGGTGGTTAGCTCAGCTTGGGAGGAGATGTGGGTGAGAGGCCTGACCGTGAGGATGCCTGGGAGAGCTGAGGCAAGGGGCCAGGACCACCGGTTGGCATTTTGTCACTGTAGAAAGTACAATTTTGAACGTGATACCAAGTATAATGAGACACAGGTCCTAAAGAACTCTACAAAAGATGTGCTCAAAGTCTGATCACAAAGTTGCTTAAATTGCTGGATAGTGACAGGTGGGTCAAGATAGATTTCAGGGAAGGGCAGGAGGGGAAGAGGGAATGGGATAAGACTTAACCATCTGAAGGGGCTAGAGTTTGGGGTGGGAGGCTAGCATTTAAACGGGAGCCTTCTCTTTGTTATTTTAAAAGGTGGGTAGAACTTAAGAAAACTTTGTGTTTAAAAATAAGAGAGAAGAGAGAGATCCAAGATGGCTGATCACTAGCAGCTCGAGATTGTAGCTCCCAGTGAAAGCACAGAGAACGAGAGGACGCCACACTTTCACATGAATTCTTGTTGCTCACACACCAGAAGATTCTCAGCAAAGGAGCCCCACGGGTCGCCAGCGCAACTCTTGTGACCAGCGAGGCGGTTTTGCCGGCGCCTCGGAGCGTCGGTTCTTGGTGCAGAGTCAGAAAAGCACCATCAATCTTAACGCCGCTGATTTAGTCGGCGCAGTGGGTTGCTCAGATTTTGGCGCTGAGAATCAATAAGTTGGACATCCACTCGGAAACCCAACTACAAAGACGGTAATTATAAAGACCACAGATGGATAAATCTACAACGAAGGGAAGAAAACAGCCAAAAAAGGCTGAGAATACCCAAGATCAGAATGCCTCACCCTCAGCAGGGGATCACAGTTCCTCATCAGCAACAAAACAAGGCTTGATGGAGAATGAGTGTGTTCCAATTACAGAAACAGGCTTCAAAATGTGAATAAGAAACTTCTGTGAATTAAAAGAACTTGTTCTAACCCAATCCAAAGAAACTAAGCACTTTGAAAAAAGGTTTGACGAAATGTTAACAAAAATACACAATTTAGAGAGGAAAATAAGTGAACTGATGGAGCTGAAAAACACAATACGAGAACTGCGTGAAGTATGCACAAGTTTTAACAGCCAAATTGATCAAGCAAAAGAAAGGATATCAGAGGTCGAAGACCAACTCAATGAAATAAAAGAAGACAAGATTAGAGAAAAAAAGGATAAAAAGGAATGAGCAAAGTCTCCAAGAAATATGGGACTATGTGAAAAGACCTAATCTATGCTTGATAGGTGTACCTGAATGTGACAAAGAGAATGAATCCAAGCTGGAAAATATGCTTCAGGATATTATTTAGGAAAATTTTCCCAACCTAGTAAGGCAGGATAATATTCAACTCCAGGTAATACAGAGACCACCACAGAGATATTCCTCAAGAAGAGCAACCCCAAGGCACATAATCGTCAGATTCACCAAGGTTGAAATGAAGGAGAAAATACTAAGGGCAGCCAGAGAGAAAGGTCAGGTTACCCACAAAGGGAAGCCTATCAGACTTACAGCAGATCTCTCAGCAGAAACCCTACAAGCTAGAATAGAGTGGGGACCAATATTCAACATCCATAAAGAAGAGAACTTTCAACCAAGAATTTCACATCCAGCCAAACTAAGCTTCATACGTGAAGGAAAAATAAAGTTCTTTGTGAACAAGCAAGCACTCAGAGATTTCATCACCACCAGGCCTGCTTTACAAGAGCTTCTGAAAGAACCACTACACATAGAAAGGAACAAATAGTATCAGCCTTTCTAAAAAAAAAAAAAAAAACCGACAAGTAAAGAGCATCAATATAATGAAGAATTTACATCAATTAATGGGCAAAATATCCAGCTAATATTAAACGGCAGTATTAAACTCACATATATCATTATTAATTCTAAATTTAAATTGACTAAATCCCCCAATCCAAAGACAGACAGGCAATTTGGATAAAAAACTAAAACCCATCAGTATGCTGCATCCAGACCCATCTCACATTCAAGGATACACAAAGACTCAAAACAAGGGATGGAGAAAGATTTACCAACCAAACAGACAGCTAAAATAAATAAATAAAAAGCAGAAGTTCCAATTTTTGCCTCTGATAAAATAGTCGTTAAAGCAACAAAGATCAAAAGAAGCAAAGGAGGACATTATATAATCAAGGATCAATGCAACAACAAGAAGAGCTAAAGATCCTAAATATATACGCACCCAATACAGGAATACCCAGACATACAAGACTAATAAAGAGACTCCCACACAATAATAGTGGGAGACTTCAACATTAATATTGGATCAATGAGACAGAAAATTAACAACGATATCCAGGACTTGAACTCAGATCTGGAACAAGTAAACATAATTAACATTTATAGAATTCTCCACTTTAAATACACAAAATATTCACTCTTTTCAGTACCACATCATATCAACTTAGAAGTTTAAACGAAATGTTGGTTGGCTCCTTGTTTGTTATTCTCTTCCCTCATTTTCTTTTATGTCTCCATTATTAAGGACAATTATAGGCATACGCATATTTAGACTGCATTCTAGCCCGGGCAATAAAGCAATACCCCCATTCTCTCTCCCTCTTCCTCTTTCTCTTTCTTCCTCTTTATTCTTTTTCTTATTATTCTTTAAAAAAAAAACTGTGCTGAGTAATTAAAAATAAAAACTGTACTGAGTAAAAAAAAAAAGTACAGATTACCAATATATATTTGAAAATATGATCCACTTCACTTGAAATTAACAATTGTAAACCAGAATGAGGTGCAGTTTTTCAGCTATCAAATTGGCAAAGGGTATGTAGAAATAGACATTTACTGAAAAGTTTTAAGTTGGTTTAATCTCTTTAGAGCACAATTTTGCAATACCCCTCAGATTTTGAATGCACAAAACCTTTGCTCCAGCAATGTTATTGCTTTCCTACCTGTGGCTGCTTTCCTCCATTTTCCCTGCCTTCTGTATTAATTAGCTGTTTCTAATTCATCTTTCTCTGCGATCTGAGCAAGAGTCATCAATGCTGAAAAGCTAAGGAGAAACTTTGTAAAGGATGGATTGGGCTCATGATACCTAATCAATCTTAATATTAGGAAGAGAGAGAAGGAGAGAGTATCTCAGACATCTTACACCTCCTGTTGGAAATGGACAACATAACCTATAAAGTATTCTTGTCAAAAAATCAGGCTCAGGTCTTATAAGGCCATTAGCTCTAACTACCAGTTTAAAATAAATAAATAAATAAATAAATAAATAAATAAAAATTTTAAAAAATTAAGAGAAATCCTACGTCTCTCTGGCAAGCCTAACTGTTGTCACAAACTAAAAGAACTTACACAACAAGTGTTCACATAAATAACTCTCTTAATTCCTTTACATAAAGAAAACATTCAGCATATGTTTTTGTTACAGCAGGCTTTCTTCCAAGACAAATTACATTCACATATTTAAGGAAGAGTTTCTCTCCAGGGCATGCAAGGAAATAATCACTCCTAGGAGAGTAAATCTAGTCATCCCAGGATTCCTTGACCTTCATTAAAACATGACTTTCAGTCGTAAAAGGAAAATGACTGAAAGCTATTGATTTGTAGGTCTTTTTTCTATCTTAAATTGCACTGCAGAACACTGAATAACACTGAGAGGACAAGGAAATCTGTAATCCAGACCCTCATTGAGCAATTGGTAAATGCAGTTGTTAGATACAGTGAACTCCAACAATCAGTATGTATGTTCAGCTTTCTTACTCTTTAATTCTCCATTTTAAAGTTTAACTTCCTTATAGTTTCAGTAAACAACCTTTTCTACCAGTTCAGTAGTTCACTTCTGTTCCCTGGGTCCCCTGCTCTATCCTGACTTGTCCTGGTCACCTCCTCTGGTCACCTGCCCTGGGTCACCTGCTTTGACCAGAGTTACCCCTGGTTACCTGCTCTGACCTGTCCCATAACTATCCTTCCTGCCAAACTACCCAGCCTGCCACTCCTGCTCTTACCCCTGCTCTCTTTAAAATAGCCAATCAGAATTAGCCTAGACTGTGTGGTCTAACCCCAGCCAATAGGGGAACGTCACAGCAGTAGGGGCTACCTCCGTCAGGAATAAAAACTCCTTCCCATCCCTTGTCCAGGTGTCCACTCACCATTGTTACATCTGTGAGTCACTCCCTTCTATAGAAGTAAATTGCCTTGCTGAGGAAATTTATATTCAAGTGCTACTTCTTTTGTGGCACTGAAAATTTACATATAACAAGGTCATTGTGGATCTTGTGAGCAACCCACCAGGAGCCTGCTCTGAAAGTGTACTGTGACCAAATTACATTTGGTAGGCTGAGGAAAGTGAAGCTTGTCACACATCTCTTGATGTTGCATGTGCCATAGTCTATGGCTACCTGGACTCCTTGAGATGGGCATTTTCTCTTGTATTTGCCACAATCACCATCACTCATCACTCCATCACTCTTTTTTTTTTTTTTTTTTTTGAAACAGCCTCACTCTGTTGCCCAGGCTGGAGTGCAGTAGCATGATCTCAGCTCACTGTAACCTCTACCTCCTGGGACCAAGCAATTCTGCCTCAGCCTCCTGAGTAGCTGGGATTACAGGCATGTGCCACCACTCCCAGCTAATTTTTTTTTTTTTTTCCAGTAGAGACAGGGTTTCCCCATGTTGGCCAGACTGGTCTTGAACTCCTGACCTCAGGTGATCTGCCTGCCTCAGCCTCCCAAAGTGCTAGGATTATGGGCGTGAGCCACCACACCCAGCCCATTCATCCTTTTTATTCAGCCTATTAACCTGGCTGGCCCCTGAAGGCATTTGAATTTGTGATGCCTACACATTAAACAACAAAAGGAGAAAGTCTATACAGTTTTGCCTGGGCCCATATGATAAACTTGGAGATAAACACAGAGTTATCGGTAGTGGCCCTAGAAACAAATGATAGATGCTGCAGATTTCTCTGAGAGACTGAAGCATTCTACATAAGATAGTTCAGGTAGAACCAGCTCCTATACTTTTAAAGCTAGTTTAGACCTATGGAGTTTGATAAACTCTGGAAATAGTTATATTCAGTTGAAAAATTCATCAAATCTTGTCCAGTGCTATGTATCATCGTAGGGATACAGAATGATCCAGATGAAAATCTGTCCTCAAGTTCCTAGTCTAGTAAAGTAGATCAATGTTTAGTTATAAAATAAATATTGAGGCTGGGTGCAGTGGCTCATGCCTGTAATCCCAGCACTCTAGGAGGCCAAGGTGGGCAGATCACCTGAAGGTGAGGAGTTCAAGACCAGCCTGGTCAACGTGGTGAAATCTTGGCTTTACCAAAAATACAAAAATTAGCCAGGCATGGTGGCGCACACCTGTAATCCCAGTTACTCAGCAGGCTGAGGCAAGAGAATTGCTTGAATCCAGGAGGCAGAGAATTGCTTGAATCCAGATGCTGGAGGCAGCAGTGAACTAGGATCTTACCACTGCACTCCAGCCTGGGCTACAGAGCAAGACCTTGACTCTAAAAAATAAAAAATAAATAAAAAAGTAAAACCACCATTTTCACCTGTGCTATTTTCATCATCTTCAACTCAAATCTCTCCTGTATATACAGTTTAATGTACCTCTTGGAGATACAAAAAACTTGAAGACACTTCAACAAGTCCATTTTACTTTTATAATTATTAAAAAAGCAACACTGCTCCAAGTTATGTAACATCTTGAACATTCTATTAATACTATCTGACCAAATTTTAACACAAAAGGTTAACTTTTATGAACACATGGATAATAATACAATTGCAAACTACCAACATATATTCCATCTGAATTCGATAGGTCCCAGGGATGCTATTTGGAGTGGAGGAGTTTGAATGCATACCGAGCACCAAATGCATACCAAGCACCGAAGTCTGGCTAACATGGCCCGAGCCCAACAGCAACCTTGCTCTTTATCTTCCTCTGCAGGCGGCCCAGGCTGGCAGAAAAGGAAAAGGAGAGCAGTACTTATTTAAGGCCGAACTGTCCGCCTCTTGGTCCCTAAGAACCCTGTGAGCCAATATGAGAATCACTCCTTTCTATCCTCCACGTCACTAACTCAAGTATTCAGTGAAGCATCTCACATGGTTGTCAAGCATCTTACATATCAGTGTCCTCAGTGGAAACTGCCTGGTTATCCTCAGAAATCTCTTCAACACATGCCACTCTGAAGATGTACATGCCATCTCTCGATAGTGTAATAGAGCAGGATTTTGCTGGATGTTGGAGATAAGACAGCTCTTTCTTTGTTATAGCATCAGATAAAGTGGGTGGCCTGGCTTTAGGGGCCATACTAGGAAAACTCAGTGTTGTTAATAACCAGATTGGCAATCAGCCCAATTATTACCATTATTTTGAGATGGAGTCTCACTTTGTTGCCAAGGCTGGAGTGCAGTGGCATGATCTTGGCTTACTGCAACCTCTGCCTCCCAGTTCAAGCAATTCTCCTGCTCAGCTGGAATTCCAGGTGTGCACCACCACATCCAGCTAACTTTTGTATTTTTAGTAGAGACGGGGTTTCGCCACATTGTCCAGGCTGTTCTCAAATTCCTGACCTCAGGTGATCCGCCCACCTCAGCCTCCCAAAGTGCTGTGATTACAGGCATGAGCCACCATGCCCTTCTTATTAGCCCAATCAGATGTCCATAAATAAGAGGTTGGCAGGAGCTGATATCAACTGAAGGAACAGATTCTTCCATCACACCTAAACTTCAGGGCACATGCCTATTGAGAAGAATGGCAGAATCATCTGTGCAATGTAAGTTATTTCTCCATTTTTTTTCTGTGTGTGGCATGTGTAATTTAATTCAGGCATGACAGACATTTCTAGTTACCTATCCAACACCTGTTCTCCCCTGTTTCCTTATTAACAGAATCCCCCACTTTTGGGGAGTACTGTGACATACTTAGTCAAATTTTCACCTCTCCAGATTCCCTGGTAACGAGGGTGAGCCATGTGATCTGTTTCTGGCACTAAGATGCGGACAAAAAATGCATCAGCTTGGGCTTCCAGGAAAACTGTTTCCCTGATTTTAAAAAGTGGGGAGGGAGCCGGGCATGGTGGCAGACACCGATAATCCCAGCATTTGGGGAGGCTGAGGCAGGAGGATCACTTGAGCCCAGGAGTTCGAGATCAGCCTGGGCAACATAGCAAGGCCTCATCTCAAAATAAACTAAATAACTAAAAAATGAAAAGAGGGAGGGTGTTGGTACACATCTTTTACCTTTTACTTTTCTCAACCCCTTCTTCCTGCCTGGGGTATAGAAAAGATACCTAGAGGTAGAACAGCCATGCTGTGATTATAAAATCCTGTAAAATCCCAAGTCACACAAAGAGGGGTCAAGCAAAAAGCTTAAAGAACCCAGGTATTGGCCGGGCGCGGTGGCTCAAGCCTGTAATCCCAGCACTTTGGGAGGCCGAGGCAGGTGGATCACGAGGTCGAGAGATCGAGACCATCTTGGTCAACAAGGTGAAACCCTGTCTCTACTAAAAATAATAATAATAATAATAATAATAAAATTAGCTGGGCATGGTGGCGTGTGCCTGTAATCCCAGCTACTCAGGAAGCTGAGACAGGAGAATTACCTGAACCCAGGAGGCGGAGGTTGCGGTGAGCCGAGATCGTGCCATTGCACTCCAGCCTGGGTAACAAGAGCGAAACTCTGTCTCAAAAAAAAAAAAAAAAATAGAACCCAGGTATCTAATGACTAAAGCTGCTATACCACCAGCCCTGGACCACCTTGTTGCTCTTTACAGGGAAAAAAATAAAACCCCTATTTGTCTTAGCTGCTGGAGTCCAATTTCTGTTATACGTGACCAAATGTAAGACGCACATTTACACATTTAATCCAATTCTCTATCGGAGCTGGGAATTATTCCAATATTCTTAGCCCAAATTAGCCTTTTTTTAATATTCTCTTTTAGTCCTATTTTGAAGATTTGTTGTTATTGCCGTTTCCTCAAAAGAAAAGTTTTCTTTTTCCTCTGTAATGTAATTAATTCAAGATAGATATACAAAGATATTCACTACAAGTTTTTTAATAATAATTAAAAATAACCTGGCTGTTCATCATAGGGAAAACAATGTATAAGTTATAGGATGTTTATAAACTATTTTGCAGTTATTAAAAAAATAAGATCTATATTGCTGCCTTAGAGGCAAGTCATATTTTTATTGCTGAGTGAACAAAGAATAATATATATTTAGCCCATCCCTAAAACATATATATATAGGCCTGGTGCAGTGGCTCATGCCTGTAATTCCAGCACTTTGGGAGGCTGGGGTGGGTGGATCACCAGAGGTCAGGAGTTTGAGACCAGCCTGGCCAACATGGCGAAACCCTGTCTCTACTAAAAATACAAGAACTTCACCAGGTGTGGTAGGAGGCGCCTGTAATCCCATATACTCAGGAGGCTGAGGGAGGAAAATCGCTTGAACCTGGAAGGAAGAAGTTGCAGTGAGCTGAGATTGTTCAACTGCACTCTAGCCTGGGCAACAAGAGCAAAACTCAATCTTAAAACAAAAACAACATCGTATACGTATACATGTGTAAATACATATATACATTCTTGTGTAAGCATCAGAATAAACCTTTGGAAGAATATACTCCCAACTCTCAAGAGGTGGTTACCTCTGGATCATGGATAAGAGAAAAGGCTGGAGAGAGGGGAAAAAAAATAGCTCTTTATAAACTTCTATGTTGTTTGAGTTTATTATACAAAAGTAATTCCTATCTTTCAATAAGTTGTAAAAACACAGAACAGCCTAAGACAGAAATTAAATTTAAGTATCACCACACAGAAATAAACCCAGCTGACATTTCCAGAACATCCATTTAGAATCTAGACCTCTTACTTCACATGCAAGTACATAAATACATGCAAACTCTTGTCTGCTCTAACAGCCCTCCCCAGCCTGGTTACCTCATTAGTCATTCCTTCTCATCCTCTTTTCTGGGCTTCATCTCGCCTACCTGACTTCAACACACTGGAGTGGCCCAAGAATGTTGTCCTCTCTATACTGAGTCCCTAGGTTAACTCATTCAGTCTATGTCCAGCCCCCAGCCATGAGCTTCAGTCTCAGATATCCAGGTACCCACGTGACAATGCCATTCAGACGCTGAAATCACATAGGGAATGTATGTCCTGAATCTCTCCTTTCACATCCGTCCTCGTCCCCCTCCAGTCAATCAACCGGACCTTTCCCAATCTCCCCCACCTCCCTAAGTGACACCGGTTTTCACCCAGTTGCTCAAGCCCCAAACCTAGAAGTTGTCCTTGATCCTGCCTTTTCCCACCTGTCACATCCAAGCCATCAGCAATCCTTCCAGATCCTTCTCTACTGCCCACATCATCCAATTTTTCACCCCAAAACACACAATGCCTTTGAAAATATCCCTTTGACTATTACTCATTCATTACCATTGGAATAAAATCCAAACTCCTTACCATGGCCTATAAGGTCCTGGGTTACCCCACCATCCCCACCCACACCCCTCCTAACTTCATCTTATGTACTCTGCTCTTGCTCCTTCTACTGGGCTCTCTCTAAATTCTTAGACTACACTAAGTATATCAGTATATTAACATACTTAACCTCAGAACATCTACCTGGGCCATGCCCTCTGAAATGGACTTCCTCAGCCTTCCTTGCTGCTGGCCCTAGCTCGACCTTCAGATTTCACCTCAAATGTCACCTCCTTAGAGAGGTTCCACTTGACCTTTCCTCCTCCCATGCTGTGAGTCTTTCTCATATCCACAGTGTTTTCCTTCTTAGCACTGGCATGAATCCTCATCTGTTTCGTTTAATACCACCACTCAACCCTATAGTACATACACCATGAGGTCAGGGACTTTGTGGATATTGTTCTACACTTGCATCTAAGACAGTCCCTGGCACCCAAAAGACTTAGCTGTTTATCGAATAATGAGCATACGCACACTCTCATAACATTTCATACAAGTGGGACCATGTTATATATGCTACTTTGTGATTTTTCACTTACTGTTAAACATTTTCTCAAGTTAGCATCATCTAAATCTTTCTTTGTAGTGGCTACCTGGCATATCATATGACTATATTTAGCTGAGCCTCTAGGCACTTTCCATTACCTCCCTATTACAATCAAGTTTGTAATATATATTATTGCATGTATTTTTGTGCATGTCCAATTTCATCTTTAAGATAATTTCTTAGAAGTGGAATTATCAGGTCAAAAATAACAAAGTCTTGGACATGAAAGCAGTTTTTTTAAAAAAATCATCTACTTCATTTACTCTCAAGTTAAAATTAAACCAAATCCATGTTTTGCAAAAATAAGTACTATACTCTTCAAGGTAAATGGAATTACATCCTTATAAAAATATACTTGGATATGGAGTCTGCTTACAAAATCTACTTTAGACCTCTAAATTGAAGGAAATCCCCAAGTTGATATCTGTATAAAAAGCCCTGTTATTAAATGCTGTGGGAATGAACAAAATAATATTCAAAGAATCCAGCAGGGTGAGAGGGTTGCTACCCTTAAATAGACTGCATCCAAGAACAGAATAGTTGGTGGTTGTCTCACACATGCCTTCCTTATTTATTCTGTGAGCCTCCATGACTATGCCAGAAAACTCACGAAGTGGTAGCACCATGAGCTAATGGACCATCAGCAAAGCAGAGGGCTCTCAGCGATAACTATAAACTCCCTCCTTTGAAAATCTCAGAGTCAGTTCCATTGGTCTCAAATCCCCTTGCTTTAGTAGCTGCTGAAAGACAGTCATCATCACCCACACCCTCACCTGATACTGCATGTACATGTCCTCCTGAACCCGGTCTATCTACTGCTCTCCCCTGCCTTCCCCACTCCCTGAGGTCTTCCTCTCCTGTCCCTACAATTCGATCTGTCAGCAGCAAAAAAATATCCTCAGCGTCTTCTAGAAGAAAATATTTCCTCTCCTCTTTAACTAAAACATGGCTGGCTCCTGAAGGTACCACCTCCCCTGACACCCTGACTCAACTAAAAGCTTTTTTTCCTCTGATACTCCATGACTTCCTGGCCAGGCAGAGGGGTAGCATTCTCCTTGCTCCCCACTGCCACACACGTGCATGACTCTGACTCTCATAGAAACCTCCCTGCTGCTATTTATGTCATCCATCTGCATTCTACTATCAAGCTCCTGGCCCCTTTGTCCATTGGGCCCTGGTTTCTATCAGGTTAGCAGTAATTACAACACTGTCACAAAGTATCTGCTTTCAAGCTCTGGCTTCTTGGTTCTTCAACTCCTTCCCTCCTCTAGTAGTTTCTTCAGTGCCACCACAGCTATGTGCACCCAACCTATAGTCATCACAGACATCTTGATTCTCAACATCCCACATTCTGACCACATCTTCCTGGCCTTTCGCCATCACTCCTAGCTTACCTAGACAATTTTATCCACTGGAACTGACAATCCATTGACCCCCTCGCCCCCCCACCACCCTGAGAACTGGCCCATCAAAGAAATTGGCTTATCTATAAGCCAATTTATAACTGGCCCATCAAAGAAATTGGCTTCAATTTCTCCTTCCCAATCAGGCTTAGGGGGTATCACTCCAACAACTCCTGAGCAAACACCCTTAATTTCTCGGACTGAGATTCCCTCTGGGTCTGGCAAAACTGCTCCCCTACATGAAGCCTACTCTCTACTTTCTTTACAACTGAATCTGAGAAGAACTTTGCTGGAGAAAAAAGTAATTCAAGAAAGTTGATAGAGTTCACTTAGGTTTAACATTATGAACCTCAAAAGGGCACTTAAGGACAACCAGAAATTACTAGAATCAGCACTATGCTAAATAGGAAGAGCACAAATTATTGCTAATGATCTTAAATGTTTCACCATTAAGTTCAGTGTTGCTGCAGACATTCTATCCCTAGTTTCCTAAGAGTCTTACTGTTGATTGGTTGGATTTTACTTGTGAATGGGTGCTGAATTTTTATCAAATGTGTTTTCTGAATTCACTAGAATAAGTATGTGGTTGTTCTATGGATCAAGTAAAAATAAATTAATAGATGCTTAAATGTTAAACCGTTCTTGCATTTATGGTATCCATCTACTTCTAATGGTTTTTCTTTTCTCCTTTCAACACACACACACACACACACACACACACACACACACACACACACAACCACACACACACAACTAACACTGGTGGAGTATGTTTGCTAAATTTTTTAGCATTTTTGTATTTATGTTCATTTGAGACTGATCTATGATTTTCTTATGATTGTCCTTGTTCTGTTTTGGTATCAAGGTAATAGAAGCTTCCTAAAATAAACAGGGGAGCTTTCCTTTTTCCCCTCTTTCTTGGAATCATTTGTATATGGACTACTTATTCCTTATGAATTTGATAAAACTTATATTAAAATGTCAGGATCTGATGTATTTTTATAAACAAAGGATGGGCTTTTTATACTACCAATTTAATTTAATTATGATTCTTAAGTAACTTTCGGTAATGCATATTCATCTAGGAAATTGTTCATTTCATCTAAGTTTTCAAATTTATTGACATATTGCTGTTCCTAATATATTCTTATGCCTTTTAAGGACTCTATGAATTGACTCTATTTCTACATCTCATTCCAACTTTCAATTGTGCCTTCTCTATCATTTTATTTTCTTGATCAGTCTGAAGTGGAAGTTTGTATATTGCATCTAGTCTTTCTAAAGAACCAAGTTTGGTTTTACTTCTCCTCCTATGATTTCCATGCTTTCCATTTTATTTCAGATTTGAAAACTCATTATCAACACGCTTCTAATTGCTTTGGACTTGTGCCAGTACCTTTTTTCTGATTTGTTTTTCAATCATGTTCTATCTCCTTTGTGCCCTCTTCTTGTCCTTACACATTAGACTCAGTTGGTCCGGTTTCAAAAAATAGCCCTGCTGGGGCTTTGAAAGTGGTAAATTTAATTCCTTTACTAATTTAGGGAAAACTGACATCTTTATGTTATTCTGTCTTCCATCCGTTGGTCCTGATTTTATGATAATACATTTAGAATTTCATGATTAAGCACAGGCGTCCCCAAACTACGGCCCGCGGGCCGCATGCGGCCCCCTGAGGCCATTTATCCGGCCCCCTGCCGCACTTCAGGAAGGGGCACCTCTTTCATTGGTGGTCAGTGAGAGGAGCACAGTATGTGGCGGCCCTCCAACGGTCTGAGGGACAGTGAACTGGCCCCCTGTGTAAAAAGTTTGGGGACGCCTGATTAAGCAGAATACTGACTTCTGGACTGAGATTTATCATACTATAGAGTAACTAGTTACTACTATTTTGTTAGATTTTATGCAAATTCAAAAACAGATGTAGAATTTTCAAATGCTTTTGGAAATAAAGACAATCATAATGATTTTTCTCTCTAGATCTATTAGTAATAAATATATTACTAGATTCCCTATTATCAAACCATCTTTGCATTCCTGGACTAAATCTCACTTGGTCATAACATATTATTCCTTTAATATCCTGCTAAATTCTGTTTGCCAACATTTTATTTAGAATTTTGGCATGGTTGTTATTATTATTATTATTTTTGAGATGGAGTCCTGCTCTGTTGCCCAGGCTGGAGTGCAGTGGCATGATCTCAGCTCACTGCAACCTCTGCCTTCTGGGTTCAAACAATTCTCCTGCCTCAGCCTCCTGAGTAGTTTGGATAACAGGTGCCTGCCCACCACCATGCCTGGCTAATTTTTGTATTTTTAGTAGAGATGAAGTTTCACCATGTTGGCCAGGCTGGTCTCGAACTCTTGACCTTAGGTGATCCTCCTGCATCAGCCTCCCAAAGAGCTAGGGTTACAGGCATGAGGCACTATGCCTGGCCTAGAGTGATTATTTTAAGTGAGATTGTTCTGCACCTCTCTTTGCAATTTTTGTTGCACTTTGATATTGTAACACAAGATTGATTTAAAAATTAGGAAATTTTTATTCTTCTATGAGCTAGAATGTTTGAGCAGTGCTAACACTATCCTTCTTTTAAAAAGCTAGTAGAATTCCTCTGTGATGTAATCTGGATCATATGCATGTTTGTAGGGTACTTTGACAACTTTGTCTCTCTTCTATGAAGATTTTTCTGCTAAGGTTTCCCATCTATTTAGAAGTCCATTTTATTAAGCTGTATTTTCCTGGAAAATTGCCCAGTTACTCCAGGTTTTCATCAAAACTTGGATGTGCAGACATCTGAAAGTTAAAATGTTAAGTAAACCGTAGTTCCTGCTTGACATATTCCTCCCACTTTGAGGCTTCCTTCTCTCTCTAATGGGCAACAAACACCATCCATCTCATTGCAGAAGACAGAAACCTAGGAGACTGAAATCATTCTTCTTCCTTTACCTATTGCTTCCAGCTACCAGCAATTTATTAACTGTAGCTCCAAAATAAATCTGAAATCTCTCTATTTCTCACCACCTCCACTGCTATCCTCCTGCTTAAAACCACCATCTTGGACCCAAAAAGCTTTCTGGTTGAACTCTCCTCTCCCAGTCTTCATTCCTTCCATCAGTTCTTAACATAACAGCTAGAGTAATTTTCTTAAATATAAATCAGGTTAGATTACCCTAATCTATTCCTGGATTATTTTGTGTCCTTGTACACCCATTATTTTGTATACTTGTATACTATTGCCAGATTAGGGTAATCAATGCCTTCACAAAAAGCCCTATATATTTACTCTAACTCTTAGTATAAAATTCAAACTCCTCAACATGGCCAATGAAGCCTGACCTCATTGAGGGTTTACCACGTTCCCAGCGTTACTTCAAATAACTGCCACTCTTATTGTTTCTCAAAGATGACCCCGCCTGACCCTGTTGCTTTAAACCACAAGTCTAGTTTCTTCTTATTCTGAAACCTCATGTTAAATGTCATTTCCTCTGAGAGACCTTTGATGAGCAACCTATCTTAAGTTGACACTTCATATCACAGCTCTCACCTTGTTAATATTCCTCAAAGCACTTATTTACTTGTCATTATTTAATTGCCATTTTTCTATTTCCCTTCAAAAATATATCTTTTAATGGGGTTGCCTCCATTAAACAAGTTTGTGTGTTAACCATTGGACAGGTTGAACAAACCTAATCTAAAAATCTGATATCCAAAATGCTCCAAAATCTGAAAATGTTTAAATATCAATGGGACACTCAAAAGAAATGTTCACTGGAGCATTGTGAATTTCAGATTTTTGGACTAGGGATGCTCAAACAGTGCATATTCCAAATATCCAAAGATTCCAAAATCCAAAACATCTGAAATCTGAAACACTTCTGGTCTAATGCATTTTGGATGAGGGATACTCACCCTGTATCTCTATGTGCATCATAGTGATTGATGCAGGGTAAGCATTCAGCCATAAACTCTTACTGAAGGAATAACCCAGACCAAAAAGGATAATTTCTAAGATGGGAGAAATTGCTATGAAGGAGAAGCTCCACTGCAGAGATGTCATGTGAACAAAGCATTATCTTTTAGAGCTTGGCCCCCACCCTGACCCGAATTCACATCCAGTGAACAATGCAAATCTTTGCACCCACCTGAGAGATGCAATCATAAAACCAGGCTTTGACTTTCCTTATGAAGGCTTAGTTGGATTGAGCCTGGAAGAAATTGGTCCATCTCTTATTATACTCACATTAGACAATTTAAAAACAAGAGCATACATACATCCACATATCAGAGTTATTTCACAGACCATTATATCACAGACCATTATAACTCACATAGCAGAGTTATTTCACAGACAGTATATTACATTATATTATAGACAGCAGCAACCCAGGATATTAACATAAGAGATTAACATGTTCACTTAATTCTATTTTATGCATTCTCTCTGTCAGTACCACTGGCCCACAACATATGCAGAGGTATTTCATGGACACCATCAAAGCACTGAATCTGTAACTCCTTGTAGTTCTAAGCTAGGGGCTTGAAATAATCCAGACTGAGGGATATTCTTTTCATTAGCAGCAAAACACACAGGCCATCACTGACATGAAAATATAAGAACAGATGAGGGATACCTGTTTGACCTTGATTGAGGCTTACTAACCTCTTGCAAAGCCCTTGCACATCAAGCACTCAGCCCAGGGCCAGGCACCCATAAGCACTCAGTGTGAGCTAAGAGAATCACCATCATCCCTCATTGGCAAGCAAGAGGGAAGTTTCTGTAGGTGTTTGGAAGAGAAAAGAACAAATGCAAAACCCCGAGGCAGGTATATTTAGGAGATGGATGTTCTTTAAGGGATTCTAAATTCACACAGGGGCCTGTTATCAAAGGGAGATGAATGCAAATAGTAACTAATATCTTACAGTGTTTGAAGAGACTGCTGCCTAAAATTGGGGGTTTCAGTCAAAATAAATGAATCCCCCAGGTTTCAGAAGACCAGGGGATATAATCATCTCTAGTGCCTCACACCGTGTGGCTTTTTAATCAACTGTTCTCAAAGTGTGTCTGGGGAATCCCTAAGAAACCAAAGGTTCTGTGAAGTCAAAATTATTTTGGTAATAATGATAAAAACATTAAGACATTATTTGCTTTTTAAAGTCTTATTCTCTCAAAAATGTACAGTGGAATATCTCAAAGTCTACATGACTCACAAGAGATTCCACTCAGAAACAGGTAACAGAATCCAGCCAGCTTCTATTAAGCCAGACATTAAAGAGATTTGCAAAAACATGAAGTAATGCTATTCTCTCCCCACATGCTTTTTGCTGTGAAAAGTCTAGTTATTTTTCATAAAAATGTGTTATTTATATCAACATGAAAAGGTTTGTTATTTTAAAATATATTTTTAAAAATCGGTCTCAATTTTTAATATGAAAAATATTCACAGATAGAGCCCACATAAGCAAAAGCTCTTTGGGAACACTCAATAAATGTTAAACATGCAAAGAGGTCCTGATTCCAAGACTTTGGAGAACTACTCACAACCAACCATGGGTATTAAGTGAAGATAGTTTAAAAGGTGCCATCGCTTTAACTATACATAATGCAATGCAGAGGGAGACGCTGTGTGAGGGACTGTGGAAATGGTCCATACAGTCATCATCATTAACTGTATTAACTGGAGTAAAAGGCATGGTTAACTCCAATTTGAAAAGTTTTTTTTTTTTTTTTTTTTTTGCTTTGAAATATACTCATGACCAGAAGAATATCCTTCCCAAAAGCATGTGACTTAAATTTCTGTAAAAGCAGCTGCTTCTCAATTGGAAGATAAAGCTTTAACTACTATACATTTATATGGGGACTTCTTTTGATTATTCGAGTGAGACAAGAACACTAGAATTTTCCTGCAGGGCAGAGGAGAAGAGTCTCCACACTCCACTTTCCCCTTCCTCGGGGTCCAGAAGATTGGACGATATCCCAAATGGGTAGAAAGGGCAGCCCCAGAGGATGCATTGATGAAGTACAGTGCAGGGAGCTGTAGCAGGATCAACCCGTTTGTTGTTTTAAAAAATGTGTAAATGAGTAAAATACATTTTACTCATATTTGTATTAGAAATATACTAATATGCATATATATAATACAAATATGTATTAGATATATACATATTATATATACATATACTCATATTTGTATTAGATATATACTGAGTAAATAGAATATAGTCTACCAAAAGCACGATTTGGTATGTAACTGAAAATCAACTGTTTACTTAGAAACCTAAACATTTTTCTCAAAATCTAATCACTTTAAGTTTTAAAAATACTGCTTAAAAATAAAACAATTGGCAGGGCACAGTGGCTCATGCCTGTAATCCCAGCACTTTGTGAGGCCAAGGTTGGCAGATCACAAGGTAAGAGTTCATGACCAGCCTGGCCAACTTGGTGAAGCCCCGTCCCTACTAAAAATACAAAAATTAGCCAGGTGTGGTGGTGTGTGCCTGTAATCCCAGCTATTCAGAAGGCTGAGGCAGGAGAATCCCTTGAACCCGGGAGGCAGAGTTTGCAGTGAGCTAAGATCGCGCCAATGCACTCCAGCCTGGGCAATAGAACAAGACTCAGTCTCAAAAAGTAGAAAATAAAACAATCAGGATTTTTAAAAAATAGAAATTCGGATGGCCCTATTAGGCTTTTCAAGATTTATGCTTCTTGTCTGATATCGTTAGCTGCACTCTATCCTCAGGGGGGTGCTACACAAGCGGCTGGTTCAAACGATGCAGCTATTCCACTAGTTACGTGTGTTCTACCATCACCAACTGCCTGTTCTCTAGCTAAAACACTACCTTATACTTCAACCAAGATTTTTCTAGAAAGAACACCTTTTAAAGTACCTCTGCATTTGCAGATCACAGAAAGCCTTCAGATCAGCAGACTGTTTCTCCCAGAATTCCTAAGATTGAACAAAAGTTTTGTTTAAGTTAGCGTTATTTTTCCCTGGAAAGATCCAAAGTCAGAACACGTTCTGAACAAAAAGAACTTACCAGAACCTCCTCCTCAAGGTGTTCCAAGGCCTGAATATCTTTCTTAAGACTGCTCAACTCTTGAAGAACCAAATTTTGAAAGCGTTCTAGTTTATTGAGTCTAATAAACATAAAAGCAGTAAACATTATTGGGACGGCTTGGATGTGACAGCAGACATTCTTAATAAGTCATCTGATTACAAGGATACTTCAGATTCTTCTCCAGACATTTCTTGTCATGAGAACATGTGGTGTCTCCATTCTCTTCCCTCCACTGACCCTGGCTGCTCATCCTCAACCTGGAAACCTCACTATACAAACAATTCTCAGGTGTCTTTCTTCTTCTTCTTTTTTTTTTTTTTTTTTTTTTTAATTTTGAGATGGAGTTTCATTCTTGTTGCCCAGGCTTCAGTACAATGGTGCTATCTCAGCTCATTGCAACCTTCACCTCCTAGGTTCAAGTGATTCTCCTGCCTCAGCCTCCAGAGTAGCTGGGACCGCAGGTGCATGCCACCACATCCAGCTAATTTTTTTGTATTTTTAGTAGAGACAGAGTTTCACCATGTTGGCCAGACTGGTCTCTAACTCTTGACCTCAGGTGATCCCGCCTGCCTCCTAGGTCTCCCAAAGTGCTGGGATTAGAGGAGTCAGCCACCTCGACCGGCCTCAGATCATCTTGCAACAGCAGCATGGAGGAAGCTGGGGTTTTTTGGTTTTTTTTTTTTGGTAGAGAACAATAGGACAGATGACTTCAGGGAAGATGAGGCTGAGGCTCCCCATCCCTTCCTACCATCCACTTGCTCCCCTTTCTCTTGCATTAAGCTGACCCTGAAAGCTTGTGGTCAGGTATGGGCTAATACACTCTTCTCCCACATCTACATTTTAGCTTTAAAATTTCTGAGACTCGCTATTCTTTGTCTACTGGTCATATTTGCTTATTAATTTTCTTATTTGCTTGCTTATAGTTTGTCTTCTCTATTGTTGCTACTAAAATGCCATTGAATTTCATACTTAAAAACAGTTAAAAGGGTAACTTTGCATGTTATGTGTATTTTACCACAATAAGAAAACACCATACACACATTTGCATGTGCACACACACATGCACACCCTTATGACCACGTAACAAGAAATACAACGGTGCCAGGATCTCAGAAGGATGAGGAAGAGGAGTGTAGGGATGGGTTTCCGTAATGATTCGAGTTAGGTCAAATGCTATTTATTCATCCTACTTCATCCATGATACAGCATGTGTCATTTGACCTCTCTATTAGGTCAAAAGTTTCATGAAGAGCACCTAAAACTCGTGCTCACCTCACTCTCAAACCAAGCACAGGGCCTGGTATCCGATGTTACTCAGTGTGCATTTGCTGAATGAATACACAGATAAGTGTGCGCCCCTGAGAGATCATGGAATTTCACAAATCCGAAGTCCTTCATGGGCTTGCCTGGACATTCAACGGACATCATATGCATACCAGACTTTGAAAAATGGTAACCATTTCTATTCAAATAATGTATTCCATCCTCAGAAACTTTCTGTCTCAGTTAAGCAAATCAACTCACCATTCTTTTCTTCCCTTCCTTCATTTGCAAGCCATTCTCTCCCCAAGGAACAACGTCTACTCTTACCTTCCCTATGCCATTCAAATCTTCGTTTCTAAAACCTCACTCAGGAAGCACTTCCATGGTAATCACTCTGAATTAATTTGAATCACTACAGAAACCCATCCCTCCACTGCCCTTCCTCAACCCTCTGAAATCCTGGTACCTTTGTATTTCTTGTTACATGGTCATAAGGGTGTGTGTGTGTACACATGCAAATGTGTGTATGGTTTTTTTACTGTGGTAAAATACACATTACATAGAATTTACCCTTTTAACCATTTTTAAGTATAAAATTCAATGGCATTAAGTACATCCACAATGTTTTGCAACCATCATCACTATCCATTTCCAGAACTCTTCCATCATCCCAAACAGAAACTCTGTACCCATTAAACAACTCCGACCGGGGGAGCGTGGTTCACGCCTGTAATCCCAGCACTTTGGGAGGCCAAGGTGGGCGGATCACCTGAGATCGGGAGTTTGAGGCCAGCCTGACCAACATGGAGAAACCCTGTCTCTACTAAAAATACAAAATTAGCTGGGCATGGTGGTGCATGCCTGTAATCCCAGCTACTAGGGAGGCTGAGGCAGAAGAATTGCTTAAACCTTGGAGGCGGAGGTTGTGGTGAGGCGAAATCATGCCATTGCACTCCAGCCTGGGCAACAAGAGGGAAACTTCATCTCAAAAAACAAAACAAAAAAACACCAAAAGCTCCACCTTTCCCCAGTCTTTGGCAATTTCTGTTGCACTCTCTGCTTCTATGCATTTGACTATTCTAGGTACCCCTCACATAACTGGAGTCACATATTTGTCCCTTGTTATCTGGCTTCTTTCCTTTTGCATAATGATTTCAAGGTTCATCCATGGTATAGCATGTGTCAGAATTTAACTATATTTTATGGCTGAACAACAGACCATTGCATGGATATAGCATATTTCATTTATCCAGCATTTTATTTTATTTTTATTTTTATTTATTTATTTATTTATTTATTTTTGAGACAGAGTTTCGCTCTTGTTACTCAGGCTGGAGTGCAATGGCATGATCTCAGCTCACCACAACCTCCGCCTCCTGGGTTCAGGCAATTCTCCTGCCTCAGCCTCCTGAGTAGCTGGGATTACAGGCACGTGCCACCATGCCCAGCTAATGTTTTGTATTTTTAGTAGAGACGGGGTTTCACCATGTTGACCAGGATGATCTCGATCTCTTGACCTCAGTGATCCACCCGCCTTGGCCTCCCAAAGTGCTGGGATTATGGGCATGAGCCACTGCGCCCGGCTTATCCAGCATTTTAAACATATATGTCCATGCTTGCCTTGTCTTCATAATTGGATAATAAATTTTTTAACAGTATTTTAGTATCACAGCAGACCATGAGGAGGCTTAAGAAGGACCATCTAGTTCAAACCCTTATTATATGAATGAAGAACCAGAAACGCAGAAGGATTAAATGATGCATCAATCCTCACAGCTGCTCAGGCCCCAACTCCTCAGGGCCTGAGCACAGTGATCATGAGATAAACATTGCTGGTGAGTCATCGTAATTCCATGGCCTTGTTTTGAAATCTAAGACTTACCTGTACAGTTGTATCTGGTTTAAAAGTTTTATTAGGCAATCCAGTGCTTTCTTTGCATTTTCTGAATTAAGTGGACTCTTTCTGCACCTAAGCTAGACCATAACAACAATAACAAAATGATCACATTTGGGTTAAATACAATTACATAAGTCAAGGGTATTCTTTGCATTAAAAAGATGCTGCTGGTACGTAATAATATTCATAGCAAACATGAGTGCTAAACAAGTGTGATCAGGCATCATCCTCCACACCTTTCAGGTATTACACCAGGTTCAGTACCAATACAAAACAAGCTAAAATAGAAAAGTTTACACTCATGCTACCTGATACAGTTTGCCTATTTGTCCCTACCCAAATCTCATGTTGAAACGTAATCCCTGATGTTGGGAGTGAGGCCTGGTGGGAGGAGTCTGGGTCATGCAGGCAGATTCCTCACAGCTTGATGTCAGTCCTCACAATAGCGAGTCATGACACCTGGGTTGTTTGAAAGTGTGTCGCACCTCCCGCCCCTCGCTCCTCCTCTCTCTATGTGATACTCCTGCTCCCTCTTGGCTTTCAACCATGAGTAAAAGCTCCCTGAGGCCTCCTTGGAAACCAAGCAGATGTCAGTACCATGCTTCCTGTACAGCCTGCAGAACCTTGACCTAATTAAACCAGTATTTTTTTTTTTTTTTTTTTTTTGAGAGTCTTTCTCTGTCACCCAGGCTGGAGTACAGTGGTGCAATCTCGGCTCACTGCAACCTCTGCCTCTGGGGTTCAAGCGATGGCCTCAGCCTCCTGAGTAGCTGGGACTACAGGCACATGCCACCAGACCCAGCTCATTTTTGTATTTTTAGTAGAGACAGGGTTTCACCATATTGGCCAGGTTGGTTTTGAACTCCTGACCTTGTGATCCACCTGCCTCAGCCTCCCAAAGTGCTGGGATTACAGGCGTGAACCACCACCTGGCCCAGCCAAACATTTTTTTTTTTTTAATAAATTATCCAGTCTCAGGGACTTTTTTATAGCAATTCAAAAATGGCCTAATATATTACCAGTACATACAATAAATACTATGAATAAATTTATATTACAAATTCATATAATAAATACTATGAATAAATTTATACCACAAATTGGCTTACACTGGTATCACAGAAAATAAGACTCTGGAGATCTAAGTTAGTTAAATAAAGGTTGTTTAGAGTAACATGCTTTTCTCAAATAAGTCATTTGGGATTTATAAATAATGGGACAAAAAAGGAGAAGGCTGAAATGGTTCCAATATTTATCCTGTAGACGAGATTTTGAGATGGGCTGTATGTAAAGTGTCTCAAAGTTCTGCCACCACTCAGCTGACCACCAACCCACAGTCTACCTCCATATTTGTCTCAGATTCCTCTCCTTTAAAAAAAAAATACAGAGACAGGTTCTTTCTCTGTGGCCCAGGCTGGAGCACAGTGGCATGATCTTAGCTCACTGTAACCTTGAACTGCTGGACTCAAGGGATTCTCTTACCTCAGCCTCCTGAGTAGCTAGGACTACAGGTGTATGTCACCATACCTGGCTGATTTTTAAAGACATTTTATGTAGAGACAAGGTCTGGCTATGTTGCACGGGCTGATCTTGAACTCCTGGCCTCAAGTGATTCTCCTGCCTTAACCTCCCAAAGTGCTGAGATCTGCAGGCATGAGTCACCGTGCCCGGCCCCAGACTCCTCTCTAGTCCACTCGGTTCCCTCCTTCCCCTTCTCCTTGTCTATTACTGTGATCAAATCATTGCGTTCTGGTACTTCAGTTATCTGAAAACGCCAGTGAAACCAAACCATCAGTACGATGTACACATAGGTCCACTTGGTCCCAGTGGGGCAGATGGACATGGAATAGCTGTCTTATAAATACAAACCACAACTCACAAAGACACTGAAATCAGTGACCACAGCTAAGACAAATCCCCCCATCCCCAAACACTCAGGAGCATCTTCACATATGAAGGCTAAAAACAGCATTGATAAATAATACAAACTTGTTACTTTCAATTCATAATGAGCTAGCTTTTCTTTCTTCTTTTTCAGCTTTGTTAATGTACAATTGACAAATAAAAATCAGGCCAGGTCAGTGGCTCACACCTGCAATCTCAGCTATTTGGGAGGCTGAAGCAGGAGGATCACCTTAGACCAGAAGTGTAAGGACTATCCTGGGCAACATAGCAAGACCTCATCTCTTTAAAAAAATTTAAAAATTAGCCAGGTGTGGTGGCATGCATCCATAGTCCCAGCTACTCGGGAGGCTTAGGTGGGAGGATCACTTGAGCCCAGGAGTTCAAGGTTACAGTGAACTATGATTGCACTGCTGCACTCCAGCTTTGGCAATAGAACAAGATTCTGTTTCTAAAAAACTAAAAACAAATGTGTTATGTATTTAAGGTATACATATGATCAATATACAGATACATTGTCAAATGATTACCACAGGCCAAGCTTGGTGGCTCACACCTGTAATCTCAGCACTTAGGGAGGCCAAGGCAGGTGGATCACTTGAGCCCAGGTATTTAAGACCAGCCTACGTAACATAGTGAGATCTTGTCTCTACTTTAAAAAAAAATTTTTTTTTTTTTTTTGAGACCGAGTCTTGCTCTGTCACCAGGCTGGAGTGCAGCGGCATGACCTCAGCTCACTATAACCTCCGCCGCCTCCTGGGTTCAAACAATTCTTCTGCCTCAGCCTCCCGAGTAGCTGGGACTACAGGCACATGCCATCATGCCTGGCTAATTTTTGTATTATTAATAGAGATGGGGTTTCATCATATTGGCCAGGCTGGTCTCGAACTGGCAACCTTTTGATCCACCCACCTTGGCCTCCCAAAGTGTTGGGATTACAGGTGTGAGCCACTGTGCCCAGCCAAAAACTTTTTTTTAAATTATTACCACAATCAAGCAAATTAACATATTCATTTATCTCACATAATTACCTTCTTAGTGGGGTGGTAGGACTGAAGATACACTCTCTTAGCAAATATCAAGTATACAGTACATTATTACTAACTGTAGTCACCATGCTGTGTGTTAGGCCTCCAGAACTTACTAACTTGTAACAAAGTCTGTATGCTCTGTTCATCATCTCCCCTTTCCCCTACTCCTGACCCCTGGTAATCATCCTTCTACTCCATTTCTGAGTTCACCTTTTTTTAGATTTCACATATACGTGAGACCATGTGGTATTACTTGATGGTGGAAAATGAATTGTAAATGCTCTTAAGAGTATATTCCTCTGCTAACTAAAATCATACTTTAAAAAATCTAATAGCAATGCATCCCTGCCTGGGACCCTAGCTATATACATTTATTTGACCTTGCCATGCTTTGGTGAACATATTAATTCTATGTCTGGCACATGTTGATTTCCTGTGTATTCTGGGTATTCTATTAAAGGAAACTTTGAACTAAAAAAAAAAAATTATATATATATATATATGTTATATATATATATATATATATATATATATATATATATAAAGTCCTCCAGACTTATAACAACTTCGTGTTTTAAGTTTCGTGGACGATTACCTCGGATTTTCTTTTCAGTTCTCTAGTGAAGTCTTCCAAGGTTGACAGAATGGCAGAACCATTCAAATTCTCTGGCACAACTTCTAGGGATGAAGTAGAAATGCCTTCTGGAAAACAAAAATAAAACACTGAATAAAACTAACAAAGTGCTCAATTCATCAGTTGCCCAGAGGATGAGTTAGTTGGAAGCACAAACGTGAACCATGGAAGCCCCGCTGACTGCCTGGCCACGATCTGACTCTCTGGCAAGTGCTCATTTCATCAAAACCTTCCCTGCACTTTAAATCAGGGTAATTGACATTATGTCTAAGAAGCAGGCCAAGGTGTTAGTAAGAGGCTCTAAGGAGGACATATGGCTAGGGTATTTCTCTGGGGCACCCTGGTGTAATCGCTTCTGGATTCCAGTCTTCAGAGGGCTTGCAAGGGGTCTGGTGCTGTCCTGAGGGATTTGCATGCATCAATTCTTTTAATTCTCACAAAAATTGTGTGAAGTAGGTACCGTCAGGATTCCCATTTAACAGAGCATGCTTAAGTCATGCGAGTTCACACCAGCAGCTCCAGGACTCAAACCCAGGCTGTCTGGAATCAATGCTTTTTTGTTTTGTTTTGTTTTGAGACAGAGTTTTGCTCTTGTTGCCCAGTCTGGAGTACAATGGTGTGATCTTGGCTCACTGCAACCTCTCCTCCAGGTTCAAGCGATTCTCCTGCCTCAGCCTCCTGAGTAGCTGGAATTACAGGCATGCGCCACCACACGCTTAGCCGATTTTGTACTTTCAGTAGAGATGGGGTTTCTCCATGTTGGTCAGGCGGGCTTCGAACTCCTGACCTCAGGTGATCCGCCCACTTCAGCCTCCCAAAGTGCTGGGATTACAAGCATGAGCCACCGTGCCCGGCCCTGGAATCAATGCTTTCTAATCTGTTGTGTTGGAGCCCTCTGTTTCAAAATGCATGGTACCATTTGTCCAGAAGGCCAGTCTCAAACACGCAGACATTCCTGATCATTCTTCTTAATCAGCATAGATTATGTATTTCTAACACAAAAATTTGGTTAATAACCATCAACTGTATCAGAGATCTACACCTTTAGATCTGCACCAAGGATTTCTCCATCCATCTAACCTTAAATTTCAGTGCAGCCTCCCTCACTTCCCTTGGGCCCTGAAATTGCCAGAAGGAAGAGTTAAGAGGAAGAAATAAAAATGCTAGGGGATAATGGCACTTGCTTTTTTTAATCTATAATTTCTGCAACAATTTACTTGTCTCTGAAAGTACAAAAAGCTTCGTTGTAGGATTTTGCAGCTACTCGGATCTTAAAACTGTACCTCCCAACATGTAATTCATGTTGGTACATCCTGTGCTGACCCATTTCCTCCCACTCCTACTTGAACCATAGGCTGGGTGCATGATATTACCTGCCAACATTCTTCTTTCTGTTACTAAGAAAGATCCGGCTTCTTCCAATCTTGATTGTTTTGACTTGGCAAAAGTACCTTCTAGTATGTCTAAAGGCAAGCAGAGCACATTTCCTTTTGACCCAAAATTATCTTGTTCATTTTTTGGCAGTTAATATCTACCCTTGACGAGTAGCAACTGAAGCTTGTCCCCTGCCCGTGGCTAATGAGTTATCATTTGGTGCACTGACTAGGCACAGCGCAAGTTATCAAACCACAATGTCTACTGATACTGAACATGGGAATGGGCATCCCTTTGATGAGCTCAGTTACATTTAGCAACACTCTGCTTAGCAGAGACCGCTCACTAAGCAAAGCGGTCCTAAGTGAAGCGTAATGGTAGACATGAAAACAACGATCGCAGGGCTCTGAGCTAAACAGCAAGACATCAAGGTTTCCAGGCAGAGGGGGCCTTTGGAAGAGCTTCAGCTCACACCCCGGAGCGTGCCATCTACTGGTAACATGGGCACATCGGCGCTACACTGAAGGCTACGTCACAAACGAGGACATCTTGCCTCCTTACAGCTCAAGTGACTTTGAGAGCCTCCAACACAGACCCCCATTTCAGTTCAGCATAAAACTACACATTTTCTATTCTGATGTTCACTTTTACCACAGACATGTCTGGTCCTCATCTGGGCCCTCCCAATCTTATCAACGCACCACCATGGGCCACAGAGCCCTGGCTTTATGCTCAACTCCTGCTTTTCTTTGCTGCCCGCTTCTCCTCCATCCTCAAGGTCCTGCCTATGGAACGAATTCCTCCCTCCCTGTGAATTCCTGCCCAACGTCATCTCCCTGGAGGAAATCCTAAATCCTTCGCCTTCAGTTGTCCCCACCAAATCTCTCTTGCCTGAGCTCTCTCAAGAGCCAACTTGTGTCTCCAACTATGTGACACCTCCATTTCAAATCCCCCTCCTTCTACCCCTCCCCACCTAAACCACTCTCTCTCTCCGTCACCATACCCTTAGTTATGATATCATCTGACCTCTCCTGTTTTGTCACATGCCTTTCTAGTTGCTATTGATTTTTCTCTCTGAAAGTTCTGGAATCCAATTTCACTAATTCATTCTATGAATATGTGGCTGTTACTAAGTGTAAGAGACAGGGTGATGTGGCTGGCAGACAGTGAGAGGTAAAGGGCAAGCCGCCCTTCCTCCACTCAGGCTCCTGCTATCCTGGTCTCCTTGCAGTTCCTCAGACATCCCAGGCACGTTCTCACCTCAAGGCCTTTGCACTTGAGACAGAATCCTTCTGACCAGAGCACTTCCCGCTTAGATCTGCACCAAGGATTTCTCCATCCATCCAACCTTAAATTTCAGTGCAGCCTCCCTCACTTCCCAGCTTAATTTTCTTCTCAGACTTTATCACATACAACATGCTACATGTTTACTTGTCCATCATCTGTCTCCCACTCTAGAGGGTAAAGTCCAATGAAGGCAGGCATTTTGTTTTCTTCACTACCATAACCTTGATACCTACACAGAAGTGTCTGGCACATAGTAGACACTCAATAAACATTTGTTCAGTAAATGAATAGATGAATACGCAGAATACCCAAGCTCCTACAGATCAAACACCCGATATGCCCAATGGAGATCTTAATACAATCGGTAAGAATTTATTTCAATTCTCTTATTCTAATTCTCCCAGTGGTGAGGGTAGAGAAACATCACAAGCTTTAGAGACCCAAATATCCACTATGTAAACAGACAAATACAAATGAATACATTTAGCATTTTAAGATCAGATAAAACTATCTTTTGGAGGTAGCTATAAATAAACAAATTTGGGGGGGAAAAAAGAAAATGATAAATGAGAGTGGTAAGAAATACCAATTGAGAGAGAAAAGGGATAATCCCGGAGCAGAAAGGACTAAACTAGTAATAATAGTAACTAGTAACAACTATTACAGACAGACCTCACAGGAACACCCTAATTTGTATTCTCTAATAGTATTTTCATACACTGAAAAATTCATTAGAGATTACATTCTCACTCTGCAGAACTTAGAAAATGTTAGGCATAGTGAACTCCAAGTTTCTCGTCAAAGAATCAGTAGGTCAGTATGTTCAGTTCTTTGTCCTCCATTTTAACTTCCTTGTAGTTTCAGTAAACAACCTTTTCCTCCAGTTCCAATCAGTAGTTCACATCTGTTCCCCCGGTCCCCTGCTCCAGTCACCTGCTCTGACCTGTCCTGTAACTATCCTTCCCTCCAGACTACCCACCTTGCCACTCTGGCTCTTACCCCTGCTGCCTTCAAAATAGCCAATCAGAATTAGCCTAGACTGTGCGGTCTAACCCCAGCCAATAGGGGGACGTCACAGCAGTAGGGGCTACCTCCGTCAGGTGTGTGTTCACTACAGGATTGGTTCTTGTCTGGCATTAAAGACTGTTTTTTACCAGAAAAACAGTCCTTCCCATCCCTCGTCCAGGTGTGTGCTCGCCATTGTTCCATCTGTGAGCCGCACCCTTCCGTAGAAATCAATTGCCTTGCTGAGGAAATTTATATTCAAGTGCTACTTCTTTTACAGCACTGAAAATTTACATATAACAAAAAGAAACAGCCAGTATCTAGCGTCTCTGTGATAAAAAAGAAAAGAAATGCATTAAGGAATGTTCTTATTTGTGAGAGGCACCCTATAGGGCTAGTACCTCTTTTCTTCCCGTTGCACTTAGGTGTGTTCATTTGTTCAGAAGGTTTGGATGGATATTTTCTGGGGGGAATCCCATTATTTCAAGGGCAAAGATTTTTAAAAATAATAACAAAAAAAGCCCGATTACAACTCTTTTTCTTTCAGCCTCAAGGCAAATAATACTCATGTTTGCATCTTCCGTGGTATCTATACCCCAGTCAGGGCTAAAAGAAACCACTTAAAAAGGATTCCACCTAGGCCAGGTGTGGTGGCTCATGCCTGTGATCCCAGTCCTTTGGGAGGCTGAGGCAGGTGGATCACAGGATCGACTATCCTGGCCAACATGGTGAAACCCCAACTCTACTAAAAATACACAAAATTAGCTGGGCATGGTGGCACGCACCTGTAGTCCCAGCTGCTAGGGAGGTTAAGGCAGAAGAATTGCTTGAACCTAGGAGGTGGAGGCTGCAGTGAGCCAAGATCGCGCCACCACACTCTAGCCTGTGACAAAGCAAGGCTCAATCTTAAAAAAATAAAATAAAATTTCAGCTAGCCTCAATTAGGCAGTGATCAACAATCACAGTATTTCCTTTCCTTACTGCCTATTCTGCCCCTTCTGGGACTTTCTTTTTCTTGGTGGCAAATTTGTAGCAACAGCCCAAAGCATGGCCTTGAATTCCAATGTTCCACCCCCATGGGTACCTGGGGTGAAGCGAGGCATCTGTCAGCACAGATACTAGTTACATTCACCAAGGACAGAGATCCAGGAGCATTGTGTAAATAACCTGGTCAGCCCTTGAATAAATGACGCAGAATTTGTGAACCTACTAACAAGGGATCATCCAGAAGGATGACTTCAGGGACGCGGAAATCACTCGACTTTTAGAAACCTCCATTGTAGTGGCAGTGCTGGTAAAGTTCTCAACCTGTACCAAAGGCATGGCTCCCCAGAGAGCACAGGCTCCTGCAAAGGAACCCACACTTTGTCAGGAAAGGCTGCAGGTCCTAAGTGATGGTCTGGGCCCGGTTTAGTTTCCATGGTAACCAAATGCCACTTTTCACTAGCAGGTTTCAACGTTCTCGTAAAAGAGTTAGAACTATATACACAAAACACCTCAGAAACAAACACAAAGATAGGTCAAGTCATCTTAAAAGAACGTGAAATCTGGGTGTGGATGCTGGTGGCTGTAGAGGGAGTGTGCTCTTGCTCTCCCAAGAACCTGGCTTTCCTCATTTCCACGAAAAGTGAAGACTTGTACAATCTGAGGAGCTTCTGAACTTATCTTGGGTGGCTGACTGGGCACGAGTTTCAGTGAACGTGTGTTTGGCATCTGTGTTATATTTTTCAACTTAAAAAACTTCTGGTAAAAACAGTCTTTAATGCCAGACAAGAACCAATCCTATAGTGAACAGCCAAGTTCCCGAAGTGAAGGTCTTTTTCGAAAGCTTGCTCTGAAGTGACACCCTGTGGTAAACAATGATAAAGGCCAACAGTCTTCACTGAGCAAGAACAGAATCTATGGAGAGATCCTCCACGTGGTTTTCACAGCACTTTCCCAGTGCAAGTACTTTGTTTCCTTTACCGATGTTTATTAAGTGCTAAGAGTATGACAATTTAAAGACTATCTTAACTGTTGAATTGCTCAGTCTGATGGAGACTACTAAATATCTTTTGTATAGATTAATGCAATTAAAAATGGATAACTCCCAGGTGCAGTGGTTCACGCCTGTAATTCCAGCACTTTGGGAGGCCAAGGCGGGCAGGTCACTTGAGGTCAGGAGTTTGAGACCAGCCTGGCCAACATGGTGGAACACCATCTCTACTAAAAATACAAATACATACATACATACATACATGTGTGTGTGTGTGTGTGTGTGTGTGTGTGTGTGTGTGTGTATATATATATATATATATATATATATATATATATATATATATAATCCAGGAATGGTGGTAGGCACCTGTAATCCTGGTTATTCAAGAGGCTGAGGCAGGAGAATTCCTTGAACCCAGGAGGCAGAGGTTGCCACAAGATCATGTCACTGCACTCCACCTTGGGCAACAAAGCAAAACAATGTCTCAAAAAAAAAATAAAATAAGTAAAAAATAAAAATAAAAATGGATAACTTGGGGCTGGGCGCAGTAGCTTACGCCTGTAATCCCAGTACTTTCAGAGGCCAAGGCGGGTGGATCACAAGGTCAGGAGATCAAGACCATCCTGGCCAACATGGTGAAAACCCGTCTCTACTAAAAATACAAAAAAATTAGCTGGATGTGGTGGTACATGCCTATAGTCTCAGCTATTCGGGAGGCTGAGGCAGGAGAATTGCTTGAACCTAGGAGGCGGAGGTTGCAGTGAACCGAGATCGCACACTGCACTACAGCCTGGGTGACAATGCGAGACTCTGTCTCAA